CCATATTAAAACATGTTCAAAAAGCGCAAAATGTGCATTAGGTGTAAAAAAATGTGGTCGAAGTGACAACGGTTTTCGATGTATTGATGATGTTATATTTGTTCAATACATTTTCATGGAGAAAATGGTCAAACAGAAGAAAATTCTTATCTGGTATTACACAATATTTTTTTAATATTAAATACTACTTCGGTATACACAGTAATATGATTAAAAAGGTTATATTGATCCTCAAAATATTAAATCATTTATTTTATTAATTATACTCGTGACTAACTATCATGTTAAAGTGTTTTTGCAAGTACTAATAGTTGGTTGGCATAATTAATTAGAATGGAGTTATAATTATTATTTGTTTTCATTAATTTTTTACACAGTTAAGCAGTATTGATACACCTAACCTCTCAATCAGTTCCCTTTTTTCATTTGTAGCAAACATCCAAGACACTTCAACCACCTTTTCAACTGCTCACAACTATGCGCTTCCACAGAGTTATAAAAAAGTTAATCACCATCTACGATTTTTTCTAATGATTAATTTTTCTGTAGATATAATATTGCTTTTCCAGCCATTGTCGATCAAAACAGTACGAAACTTTTGAATTACCGCTATTTCAACATGGTGGCTGCGCTTGCGCTCGTGACATGATGAAAAGGTCTATCTGAGAGATGTTTCTCTTCTATAGGATTTTAATGTAATAAAATACGTTCGAGACTGCGAGATGTAACTTTAGACGCATTAATATTTTTACGGTATTTAAAAAGAAAATTATATTCCTAAAACTTATTTGTTGAATAAAAGTTTCTGATTTTTTTTCGGTACATCTAATCCCGGGATTGACATCAATAGTTAGCCCCTAATGCACAAACTCAAAAAACCTCAATCCGAGAATACCGATCAAGGAGAAGCGACAGCTTGGCGTTTTCAGTGTAATGTTTTGTAACGCGCATGTGCGAAAATAAGTTGTGTATCACTCAAAATAATGTTATCTGTCAAAGTCAGTCCAAGTTGTGTTTAGTACGTGAACAATGTTAAGTGATATTTTTTTGTGTTTGTTTTGTGTAGTAATAAGATGAAGATTTTTTACACACTTAGGTATTCTAATACAGATATAAAATGTGTCAAAAAAGTTATTAGGAAACTAAGAATTTTATCACATGTATAAATATTAAGTATAATAATTTAATCATTTTTGACATTTTATTTTTCATATGTAGGTATTGAATTTTCTGAAATATATGTTTTTCTTCTTTTAAATAAATTTAATAAACAATGAACTGCAGATTTTGTTTATTTTATTTTGAAATTATATTAAAAAAAATATAATAAATTCGCGTGTTTCAATTAGGATTGGTCAAAGTGGGTGAAATCCCTTTATTTTGGCTAAATTGTAAGTTATATTATATTTATTGAATGAATCATACCGGAGTTAATTTTGGAAATATTGGTACATACTTAAATAAGTACTATTTCTAAAAATTCGTCTATGCCCAGACAGCACACATAGTCCAATGGACGTACATTTTAGATCCATTTGAGGGTCAGGACGTCCATATCCGGGCATCCAGTTTACGTCCGTTTGTACTAATTAATTTGACAGCTGAATATCGATACCCATAGAACGTCTGTTTTTGGACTTAATTTTAAGTTTAGTAGTATTTTGACGTCCAACGGACGTCCATCTTATTAAGCCTACCGGATAATTCCCATCCATTTACACTTCATCCTTTTTTAATATAATTGGTCATTAAAAATTGACAAATTGAATCTATTGCATTTCATTCTATCAGCGGAAGTTTGAAATCTTATTCCATTATAACCATATCTAGTAAAAAGTGTTCAAGTGGTTCCTTGGTCGAGCTCGTCTAGCGATTGAAAGCGTAAAACGATAATGGATGTGTTGTGAGTTCGATATCTGCTCAGGTCAAGCGATCTTTAATTAAAATAAAATAAATGGTGTATAGCTGTTGGCGAAAATAATAAACAAATTATTAATAATATAAAATAGTGTGTGGTGAGTTGCGTTCATGTAAAAATAGTGGGGATGTGGTCTCAATGGAAATATAATCCTGGACGTTTTTTGAATGTCCAGTATTCGACGTCCAAATATATTCCAGAATTAGACATCCTCTGAATGGTCAAAAGTGTGCCATTTTTATACTTCGCTAGACGTCCATTGGATGTCGGAAGTCCAGAAAAAACTCATTTTGGACGTCTAGACATCCAAAATTATATATCGAATGGACGTCCAATGGACATATTTGTATTGTCTGGGTGATAGCTAGACCAGGTGGTATTTAACTCTAAATACATAAACCTTAAATAACATCTGGCTTATCTTTGCGAGAAAACACTTGTTTCTACAGAAATGAGTAATAAACTTGAAAGTCCTTTTAATATAATATAAATCCAGAAATTCTAAAAATATGTAAGTACTTTTTAAACCTAAAAGCTTTGAAAATATATGCACATTGCAAATATTTAGTTAAACTTCTCAAACTTAATGTCTTTTTAATTGTTACCTAAATTTTTTTGGTACCCTTAATTTTATTTACCTTATTTTTACTTAAGGAGAAGGTAATTTAATTTAAATATTACATTTTTAACAATAAATAAACCAAATATTGATCAAATTTGATAGATAAATTATAAAATAATAAACGTCTTTTACTTTTATAACAAATAATTAATTATTACATAATAAATTATATTTTGGTGCCGAAATTTCACCATTGCTATTAACCCTAACTACTTCAATGTAATTAAATCACATTACAACATTTGCACATGGACTATAACAATGATTTAAGATAATTTGCTAAAGATAGATACTTATATTTGTTCACTACATTTTCATGGAGATAGTGGTCCATCAAGAAAGTTCTTATCTGGTATTAAACAATATTTTTTTATTATGTTTTACACTGGTAAGAAGTATTGATACACCTAACCTCTCAATCAGTCCACCTTTTTCCTTTGTAGCAAACGCCCAAGACACTTCAACCACCTTTTTAACTGCTCACAACTATGCGCTTCCACAGAGTCATAAAAAAGTTAATCACCATCAACGATTTTTTCTAATCATTAATTTTTCTGTAAAGATAATATTGTTTTCCCAGCCATTGTCGATCAAAACAGTACGAAACTTTTGAATTACCGCTATTTTGACATGGTGGCTGCCCTTGCGCTCATCACATGATGAAAAGGTCTATTGCAGAATGCTCGTAATACAAGGAATGCCTACCTACTCGATTCCTCGAACTTTTTCAGTTCTCCTTGTATACAAGTAAATGAACTTTTGAGAGTTTATCGCCCCTCATAATTAAATCCATAAATATCGATTGTTGATTGGCCTTAAGGATACTGGCAAATTATGCTCCAAATATGGATCTTGTAAATGTAAGTTCGTTTTACAAGTAGAAAGTCGATTTTATATTTTACGACTTGGTTGTTGAATATGAATGGTCCTACCCACGAATGTGTATACCTACAAAAATCATACTCACAGATAGGATACAAAACACAAACGCGAGATCTACATACAATCCAACAAACTCTTAAATTTAAATCGAAAAAAATTCTGACATCCAAAAAACTTGTCGCATATATCATATTAAAATAAAATTATATAGACGATCGGGTATCAAAAAATCGGGCAGTACGCAAACATATAATTAATGAATAATTTAATGTTGTTGTAACCTATTCTTATATTTTTTTGAACTCCTACGTTTAGAGATGACAATCGACGTTATTTACATAAATTTTCATCGGAAAAAAATAAGACGAACCTCACCTTTAAAAATAGTTTTTCGACGAAATGTTTTTAGTTAACTCATTAATACATTACAAAAGAAGTTTCTGTTTTTAAATTTCATGATAAGAGTAAAAATAAAGCTCAAAATTAATACCATAAAATATGATGAATTAATTTTTATTGTATTCTTATTAATTTTTATATTTTTATATTTTTACTTAGGTACCTAGTTAGTTGAAATCTTTTTTATTTCAGACTTGAGGTTGGCTTTATAGGTCGAAACTAGTCGCAACAATTTTAAACTTAATACTTATATTTTAATATTTTTTATTGTATTTGAAGCTCTTTGAGCTTAATTCTTAATTTATAACCGACCATCAGTGGCGGCTGGTGCATAAGTGGTGTAGAGTTGCAGAACTGCCAAAAAATGAAAGTACTTCATCTACATTTCACAGAAATTATATTAGACATTCTAAAATATACGTAAAATAGATTTTATGGATAATATCATTATTTTATATTCATTTTAATTATTAAATAGTAAACAGTGTGTGTGCAGTGCGGTGCAGTGCACGCTTGGGCCACCGTTTGCTCATCTCCTTTAGTTGTCAACCTTTATGGTCTTGGTATTGGTATGGTATTGGTTACACTGATGAAATAATTTAAATGTGTTATGTATTAGAACGTGAGTTCTGTTTATTGAGTTACATCACTGTTTTGTTTTATACAGAAAAATTGTAAATATTCTACTTCTAAATAAAAGTAATTATTCTTGAACAAAATTAACTCAACAACATGAAAATGTTATAAGAATTATCTAAAAAAAACTGAACGAAAAATAGGACTAACAAAAGTTTTCATTTTTAATTTATATTTATACGGTATCGGCCAACGAATACCTTCTAATACCCCTTGGCACAAGTGCGTGTGCAAACTACAGTACAAACTACATTAGAGCAAGCAGGAAAGAAACAAAACCAACGTTGCCATTTATACAACCCGATAGTTTTGTAACCACAGTATAATGATTAGTTATAGTGTGTTGTAACGTTCGCCAGGCCGTATAGGCTTCCTGTAGTTTTCACACGCAATTTGAGCCAAGGGATATAAGAAGGTATTCGTTGGCCGATATCGCATAGAATTTGTTTTAAGAAAAAATATTTCTTTGTTAAGTTTCCACAGTAGTCAATGTATAATTTAAAACTACCTGTACCTATATTACACATATTCCTTTTATTTCAGGGATTTTCGTACGAGTCGGTATATTTCTCATTGTGTCACATCTACAGCGGTGCAGCTCACGTGCCCGATTCAATAAGTCTCGTAGAACTCGCATCTTTGGCCGACATGCTGGGATTGGAAGGGCTTAAAGAAGTAGTAGAACACGCGTTGAAGCAACGGCATTGTCACAACTTCCATAAACCTTGCGCTGGTTGTTGTACTGGAATCTTGGAAGTTTTACCTTTGTCAGCCGCATATGGACTGGACGATCTCTACCAAAGGTAAGAATTATTTTTCTACCACTAGTTACTCATATGTAGCTTTTCTATCATAAAATTCAGTAAATGCAATTATATACAGGGTGTCCTTTAAAATGTGTCCCAAAATTCTCAGGCAGATTCCTTAACCAAAAAATGGAAAAAAAGTTCCTATAGACCTATGTCCTAAAGTGCCCCCTAAGCGAGCAACAGCCTCTCGAAATAATTTTTTTTATTTTGATTTTTTGAATTTTCTTAAAAATGGAAACAAATAAAAGAACCAAATTTTGGCTGTTAAATATGATCAATAATAGTGACCTTTTGACACCTTCAAAAAGAAATTATTTCGTCAGGGGTGTACTTGGGAATTTTTTGAAAATTTTGATTATTCATAACTTTTTTGTGTTTTTGGTAATGACTTATCCATATTTTTTTTTACATTCTACATTGAAAACTACGTCAAAAAGGAATACTTGTTTGATCTCGATTGGAGCAGCCGTTTCCGAGAAAACATCATCCAAAAATATTCGTCCACTTTAGCTTAATTTTCAATTTTCCTAAATTACCTCGGTGAATCTCGTAAATAAAAATAACTTTTTTAGCTCTCTCTAAATAATTGTAGTTCAAATGTCGTGGTGGGACTATTTTTATTTAATAATAAGAAACGGTTTAAAAAAATATTTATTCTAAAAAAACAAATCAAAAAAAATTAAAGCAGATGCTCAATGTGGCGACCATTGGTTTCCACACACAAGCGCAACCGTCGCATCATAGACTGTCTTACACGAAAAAATACTTCAGGATTATTCCTAAGAACTTCGCAATGATGAAAAACTCGTTCTTCCAATTCTTCAACTGTTTCAACAGGACTGGAATAAACCAATGATTTTAAATAACCCCAAACAAAAAAATCCATTGGATTTAGATCTGGTGAACGAGGTGGCCAGTTAACAGGACAACCTCTGCCAATTACTCTACCCTCAAATCTTTCGTTAAGGTGCTGTCTAGCTTCAAGGCTGTAATGTGGTGGAGCTCCATCATGCATAAACCACATGTTATGTCTGATTTGAATCGGAATATTATCAAGAAGCTCATGTAAGTTATTTTCCAAAAAAAGCCTGTATGCTGCTCCATTTAACCTATTCGGCAAAACAAATGGTCCAATAAGGTAATTATCAATAACTCCAGCCCAGACGTTTATTGAAAATTTATCCTGGTGGTGACGTTCAACAACCGCGTGAGGGTTATCTTCAGCCCATTCATGCATATTTCGAAAATTTATTATACCATCTCTAGTGAAACCAGCTTCATCGGTAAAAAGCACTTTATTAAGAAACATTGCATCTTGATTACATCTTCCAAGAAACCATTCAGAAAAGATAACTCGCGGCTCATAATCAGTAGCTTTAAGTGCCTGAACTTTTTGAATGTGGTAAGGGTACAATTGTTGTTCACGCAAAACTTTCCATACCGTGTTACGTCCGACTCCCACTTCTGAAATTAAATGAGAGAATCTGTGTAGTGAATAGTTAAGAAAGAGAATCCATTGATTTGGGAAATCAGATTTTTTCTGCATAACGCAACTCTTTTCGATACGAAAAGTCCTGAAATGTAAGAGAAGCAATAACAAGTAAAAAAACTAGTTTTATACGATAAGGTACGGGGTAGCTAAAATAATAAATAAGTAATTACTTACCATTTGCTATTTTTCTGGTACTTGTCGATGGGGTTTCAGCTACCCTATCCAAAATTGCTTCTTCCAAAGCAGGAGTTCTCACATAATTTTGTCTTCCACTGTTACTAGAGTTTTTCTTAAATGTACCAGTTTCCCGAAGTCTATCGTCAATTCTAGAAAACGTCTTAGCGCATGGAAGATGCCTATTTGGAAAGCGCTCCTGATAAAGTCTGCGAGCTTCATTGGCATTTCCAGAAGCGAGTCCAAAACATAAGTGCATGTCCGTCATTTCGCCGAATGTGTAATCATTATTGTAGTTATTGTGAGCCATTTTAAACAAAATAATAACAATACAACGAATCGCACCAGAACACTTTTAGAAATAATGTTTAACTGAAGAAACATTTTTATCAGTGAGCGAAAAAAATTATCCATGAAACACAAAAACGCCAAAAAAATACATATTTTTACTTTTTTATTCTAAACAGCTAAATACAAACGTTATGGTCTTCATAATAAATAAATGGGAACTAAATTTTTAAATTTTATTTAGAGAGCTAAAAATAGTATACAGGGTGATTGATTAGTGTGAGGAAGCTCTGTAGATCTGTTATAATAAAAGTAGGCAGCTTTAAGCTTCACATTTTAAAATTAGTTACGATGTGACAGGGTGTTTCATAAGGCCGTGCCAAATCAAAGTTATGTTTTTTAAATGGAACACCCTGTATATTTTTATAGTTTCAGAATCTGCTCGATAATCTGATTTCAATGATATATCACACTTGTTATCTAATATGAATAGTAAAGGATCTACAGCTACTCAAAAATCACATTTTTTCAAATTCAGGTGGCTGTTGTAGCCAAACAGTTGGAAATCGAGGAAAACGGCTTACAGTCCCTATCCTAACTTTTTAAGGTCTATTCAGTGACATAAAATACATATTATTTGATACAGGGTGATCAAAAATCCAAAATCACATCCGATTTTTGATCACCCTGTATCAACTAATATTTTTTGCCACTGAATAGACCTTCAAAAGTAAGGATAGGGACATGTAAGCCGTGTTCCTCGATTTCCAACTTTTTGGCTACAACAGCCAAAATTGAAAATTAACCTAAACTGCACGAATATCTTTGGATGATGTTTTCTCGGAAACGGCTGCTCCAATCGAGATCAAACAAGTATTCCTTTTTGACGTAGTTTTCAATGTAGAATGTAAAAAAAAATATGGATAAGTCATTACCAAAAACACAAAAAAGTTATGAATAATCAAAATTTTCAAAAAATTCCCAAGTACACCCCTGACGAAATAATTTCTTTTTGAAGGTGTCAAAAGGTCACTATTATTGATCATATTTAACAGTCAAAATTTGGTTCTTTTATTTGTTTCCATTTTTAAGAAAATTCAAAAAATCAAAATAAAAAAAATGATTTCGAGAGGCTGTTGCTCGCTTAGGGGGCACTTTAGGACATAGGTCTATAGGAACTTTTTTTCCATTTTTTGGTTAAGGAATCTGCCTGAGAATTTTGGGACACATTTTAAAGGACACCCTGTATATATAAAACAAAATACCAATATATTATAATAAGATATCATAGACCAAAACTAGTATAAAATACCATACATTCCCATAAATTACAAATTGATTATTTAAAAAATCATTGACAACGTAGGGTTCTAAGTTTATCAGTAGGTTGTATAATAGGCAGTTAAAATGTAAACTTAGTTTAAACTGCAAACCTTGTATTATAATGGTTATTGTTAAACATATTTTAAAAAAAGATATTTTTTCTTTAAATATACGTAAAAAGTTAAAAATTAAACTCCTATTAGCTAGACTGAGTTTACAGCATTCTTCGTACAACCCGCCCTAATTGTTTAATTTCTTTTTTGAACTTGTTAATAGTTATACAATTTATATACTCCTTAAAATGCCATAATTTTATTTACCTTGCATCTTATTATTAACTTTTTTTTTATAATAAATAAAAAAAATTTCAGCAGTGTAATTTGAGCCACAAAAAAATAATTTCATATCTACAAGCACAATAGAAAACGCAGGATTATAAATATTGGCTAATATTCTACAGCCATTGTTTAAATTTTTACTTTCCTATCTATCCTGTATACAGATATAAGGAAAGTATAGGAATCATGATTTTTTTTGACCTCAAGTTTTCGACGGATTTTTACGTTTTGAGGTCCCCTGAATCCGTTTTGACTATTTTCGCGATGATGTATGTGTGTGTGTCTGTGTGTCGCATAACTCATGAACCGATACACAGAAAAACACCAAATTTTAAACTTAAGCTTTATTCCATCGTCCAATGAACGGATTAGTTTTTGGACAGAGTCGGAACATCTGGGGGGTACTTTATGGGGGGTCATTTTTATATTTTATGGAATATATCTGTTATTTACGTTTGGAGAAGAAAATTCTTCAAATAAAAGTTACTTCTAATATTATTATCTATAATTTTTGTTCTATACAAAATTTTCCTAAAATGGTCCGTATTCGAGAAATTTGACAAAATGAAAAAAAAAATATTTTTTTATAAAAATTGTTCAAATAAAAGTTGTTTGTAATATAATTCTCTATAATTTTTATTCTATACATAATTTCTCTAAAATGGACCGTATTCGAGATATTTGAGAAAATGTGTAAATTTCGAATTTTGAAGAAAACTCAAAAACGGATAAAGAAAAAAACATTACATTTTAAATTTAAGTTTTATTTCGGCCTGACGTAAAATGATTAGATTTTGGACAAAGTCGGAACATCTGGGGGGGTACTTTATGGGAGACCGTTTTTATATTTTATGGAATATGTCTGTTATTTATGTTTGGAGAAGAAAATTGTTCAAATAAAAGTTCTTCTAATATTATCTATAATTTTTGTTTTATGTCAAAATTTCCTGAAATGGTCCGTATTCGAGAAATTTGACAAAATGTGCAAAATTCTGATTTTTATGAAAGTTGTTTGCGATATCGATCCCTATAATTTTTTTTGTTTATATATGATTTTTCTAAAATGGACCGTAATGGAAAAATTGGAGGAAGTGTGCTAAATTTAAATTTTTCAGTATTTTCGTTTTCAATGAATATCTATAGAAAAATGTTTCGAGGTAGATGTATGTGGAAAATGTATATATTTAGTTTATCCTCTAAATATTTATAGAGGTACTGCAATAGGTTGTACAAAATAACCGGAAAAAGCCTATAATAACTAGATAGGAAAGTCATGTGTTGGACACATCAGATTTTTATTCACTGATTGTGATAAAAATACTAATTTCAATTATTATTATAAAAAAAGTAATTAAAGACGGACACAACGTCCTCGATCATCGTCCACCCAGTTTTTATGTAAACATTTTTTTTGTAGATGTTTACAGTGGATTACTCAACATTTCATTAGAGTTTGGCCTAGTAGGGCGTTTGCAAGTTTGCCCAGGGAATTGAGAGAAAAATGCTATCAACAACATGTAGTGCACATGAACTCCGACAAAGTAATAGAAACCATCTTAAACTGCGACAAGGTTAGTAAAACAAGATATAATAATATAAAAAAATATTTTTTTTTCTTTTTCAGAATTATGTGATTTCATTTTACATGAATCAGCTTTTTAGTAATTTATTTTCCTTTGCCCCTATTTAACTCTAGTTTTAACTTTGGAAGCGAAAACTTATTTTTTAAAAAGAAACTTTATTAACTTTTTGTGAACTAACAATGCTAAACTATTGAGAACTTTATATTCAAAAGCGGCCTACAGACGGAACGATCAATTGTACAATATTTGACTCGACAGTTTGAACGACAGTTGCAAGGTTAGTAGTGTTGTAGTACAACCTGCAGTTCGTCGCGATCGAATCGTTTCGCAGTATGAACCTTCCATAAAATCTGTCGAACTACCAGCTTATCGTACAACAAGTTGTAACATGTAGATGTTGCTACGACTGATTGGAGAGAGTTTTGAAACCAATTTAGTGGGATGTAACTTTGTCCTGTCATAATAAATCAGTATGGACTCTCAAAATAAAGTGTTTTGGGAGGAATTTATACGAATATATAGAGAACATAAATGCTTATGGGATGTCAAATCAAATGAAATTCTTTTAAAAAAAAAATTAATAATATGCGATCAGCATTTAGACGTGAATTGAAAAAGGTAAGTAGTGTATTATATTCTCGTAGGTTTCCACTGAAGTCACCCATTTAACCCCACGATTGGAGTGTTCTACAATTATTTTTGTGGGTATTTACCTATAGAACGTCTCAAAAATCAGTGCTTTTCTATGATATGTTTTACTGCCTGTCGAACTACAGATATTTACGTTTGGAGAGAAAACAGCGATGCGACAGAACTAACCGATTTTATTCTCAACTTGTAATACGATATATTGTACAATTGATCGATGCGTCTGTAGGCTGTAGGCCGCTTAACACAAGAACAATGTATCGATTCTAAATGAATACTATTACTAATATATAAATGCGAAAGTTTGGATTGATGGATGATGATGGATGGATGGATGGATGGATGGATGGATGGATGGATGGATGGATGGATGGATGGATGGATGGATGGATGGATGGATGGATGGATGGATGGATGGATGGATGGATGGATGGATGGATGGATGGATGGATGGATGGATGGATGGATGGATGGATGGATGGATGGATGGATGGATGGATGGATGGATGGATGGATGGATGGATGGATGGATGGATGGATGGATGGATTGATGGATTGATGGATGGATTACGCAAGAACTGCTGAACGGATCTGGATGAAATTTGGCAAAAAGATAGATTATAGTTTGGAATAGCACTTAGGCTACTTTTTATCCCGGAAAAATATACGGTTCCCGTGGGATAGATTTGTTTGTTTTTGACAGACATGATTTTTTACATAGTGGTACAGAAACATGAAAATTTGAAATACTGCTACTGAGCATAAATAAATAATAATGTGTTCCAGGGTTTTTTGATTTTCACATTTTAAGGAGGGGGGAAACGGGGGATAAATGTTTCTATGGAAGTATCGATTTTTTAAAAGTAGGGACTTGAAAATTGGAATTATAGCTACTTATCACAAATAAATAATGGCCTGTTTCAGGAATTTTGGATTTTCATAATTTAAGGGGGAAAGGGGAGAAGGGAAAGAAAGGGTGGACAGGGAGGAAAGTTTGTATGGAGATATCGCTTTTTTTAAAGGTAGAAAATTAAAAATAAATAAAAATAAATAAAAATAAATAAAAATAAATAAAAAATAATATAAATTAATAATCATTCATTTTTTGATATTATAAACATGACTCCATGCGTACAACAGCTAGTGAATAATATTATACATGTTTGACTATTTATATGAAATGAAAAGAAACGTTGGCTCTTTAAAAGTGTACAATTGTATTTTCGTTGCTCTTTTTATCGGCTTTGATTTTTATTAATTGATTGTATGGTTAGTTGGTTGTTTGTATGGTTGGTTAGTTAGTTGATTGGTTTGATTGTTTGGTTGGTTAGTTGGTTGGCTGATTGGTTTTTTGGTTGGTTGGTTGGTTGGTTGGTTGGTTGGTTGGTTGGTTGGTTGGTTGGTTGGTTGGTTGGTTGGTTGGTTGGTTGGTTGGTTGGTAGTAAAGTAATACATGCATTGTACTGAAGAATAAAATGTTTATCTGATTTGTTCTGGGAATGAGAAATCTTGATCGCAGGCTCTTCTATTATAATGAAGGCACATTATTATTCAAGCCAATCGATAATATTAAAAAATAAATCTTATTTTTAGATCCTCGCTACTCTACCTGCAATGCGCTGGGCGGAGCCTGTAAGTCAACTAGTTCTTCAGCTTACGGACGCCTGTCACTTGTACCATCGTCAACATTTCTCCGCAGTCTTAGGATCCAACTACATTCTATCATTGGACGCCGGTTTGGGCTTTGGAGTGTGCCAAATCGAGGATCAAATGCTATCAGCCGCTAAAAATTTAGGAATCGAGCAGGCGTGTCGCAGTTATGCTAGGTAAGATAAAACACAATCATTACATTTTGTCTTTATAATATTAACACATTATTTTTTAGATGCTGCAAAATGTTGGACCAAACGTGGTCGAGACCGTTCGCTGATATGTTGAACAAAGTAAAACTCCAACTGGAACAATGCCTTGTGAGTCAAGCTGATAGATTAATACGAAGCAATGCATGGCTCAGATTGGATACAGCTTTAAGGTATGCCTTTTGTTTAAAAAAATCTACTCCCATGCTTTAATTGATTTATTACACTTTCTCTATCCGTACTTTAAAGATATTTATTATTCCTATTGAAACTTAATCTTTTAAGTTTTCCAGAACCTTTGCTTGCGTGGCTTAAAAGTTATGTAACTATATTTGAGGCCAAATTGTGGTGTTTTCCGGTGTCCCACACGGCTCTCACGTAGGGCCCTTGTTGTTTCAACTATTCATCAATAACATTAATAGTATTTTTAAGTATTCCAAGTTTCTACTTTTTGTCGACGACCTAAAACTTTATTTGCCCATTCGTAATGTGAATGATCGTCTTCTTTTTCAAATTGATGTGTAATTTATTTATGATTGGTTTGTCAAAAACTGTAATTCTTTCAGTATCTATAAATGTTACACGACTACATTCAGTAGCGTACACAAAATAATTTTTGAATATTCAATTTGTGGTACAGTTCTTAATAGAGTTAGTGTAATAAAAGGCCTAGGAGTATTTTTCGATGTTAATCTTTCATTCAACTTCCATATTAACCAGATTCTCAAAACTTTTGAATTTATACTGATAAACTAAAATAGTCTTTCGATAGTTTCAGTCAAAGTGGTGTATTTTGCCTATGTTAGATGTCTGCTTAAATATGATTTACCCACTTGGACACCTTTACCAAGGTTCATATTTCGTCTATTAAAACTGTTCAATTCTCATTCTCTCATTTTAATAGCTACCATTATGGTATATACTCTTTTTTATCGTCTTCAATTTTTAGGACACGTATAAAAGAACTGACCCCGAGCTTGGAACCGACGAGTCGTTTACCGCGCTCGACCAATTTCCGCAACAAGAAACACATCCTCAACCAAAAACCCAACGTCCAGAGTCCCGCGTTGAGTTCCTCGGACTCGTCCCGCAATTCCAGCCCCGGGATGAACCAGCAAAATCGTTTGAACGGCACAAACGGTAGTCCTTCGCTGCGTCGTAGCCTTCTGCTCGCAGCCAAGGCGCCTCAAGTCCCTCCGAGCCCCTCCGTCTATCGCCGAAGTACCTTAACGCAACCCACAGCCGCCAGCGCTGCCAAGTCCGCGAAAGGACCGATGAAGGCGACGCCGCTTCCCAGGGTGGCTACGATCAAGCCTACGGTACGCGGAGTGCCGATTACTGTTAGCCATACTCAGGTATATATAATTTTATTTAAACATACAGTATGATGCAAGCAGCTGCAAATAATAGTAATAATATGCGTTTTGGTGCAATGTATGTTTTTTGGGGTTTCGCAGAGCTCTAGTTCGCCTAGTTCTGAGTAATTCGAATTTGTCCTAGATTTAAATAAAGTCCGCTCAACTCAAAATACAACATGGAGAGGAGTATTTAGTGAACTACTTTAATTTAATTACTGCTTGTTGGGGCAATAATTTAAATAACTGAATACAAAAATATACATTATTTATTAATTTCCAAAATAGTTACATACAAAATAAAATTAAAACATTTGAAACCATTATACCAAAATATTTATATGCAAAATTTAAAACCAATAAAATTGTTATACATTGTGCTGCGATCGTCATAAGTAAAGGTGCGAGTGAAAGAAGAAGGGAGAATATTCGAGAAATGTTTAGAAATGTCATTCAACATCAAGAAACATCCTGACGTTTCAGGAAGGTTCTAGAAGTAAAAGCGAGCTATATAAGTCGGTGATCCTGACGTCAGAGTGGCAGTTTTATGATAGAAGTTTTACCTTCATATTATCAGTTATATAGTTGAATTATATAGTTTAGTTGACATAAATTGAGTTACCAAAAACCTGCGTAACAATATTATATATGTAGACTTAGAGAGACCAGAATTAAATCATTTACTACTTTTGCCAAGAAAATTTAAAATTAACATACACAAAATAATGCATAGAAATATTTTTCTAATTTTGACATATAAGGTGACAGTTTTTGTAAACGCAGCAAGTGTCAAAATGATCTAGTTTACGCAACCAGTTGCATAAAGTTGAATATTAAAACTGGTTAAGAAAAATTAATTATGTCACCAGTTGCGAAAAGAAAACAAAAATAAACCTTTTTTGAAAGTTTATATACAAGAAGGTCAGGTTGACTTATAAAAATAGAATTTTGTTGAACTTACAACTTAGTAATTATAGATAGCCAACACACATTGTACATGAGTGTAATGTATGTTGCATATCAAGGAGTTGGTACACATGTGTTACCAGTCTGTTACATTTTAGAAATACTCCAATTTGTGAAAAGAAAACTGAGATCGACCATTCCAGTTAGTAACTCTTTAATTAAACAAAAATCAGTTAGGAAGTATCAAAAACAAATTCGTCTGAAGCAGTCTCAACAACAATATTACAATAGACCAGGAGTTAAGAATCTTCCTGAATTAATATCTAAATCAGATTTATGTGTTCAAATTAAACCTAAAGGTATGTGGACACCTAGTCTAATTGTAGAAAGTTTAGTAAATAGGGCTTATAGAGTACAGTTGGAGAATGGGTCAATACTAGCTCGAAACCGCAAATTTATAAAGGCTTATTTTAAAAATAATAATGATAATACAAATTACAAAACTAGTATTGACACTGACTTTTGACCAACGTAGATATCAAAAAAGAATAATTCTGAAATAAGGTACTTTATAGAAATAGAGGGTGAGAGAAACCAAAATAATACAGAAAACAGCACTACAGATGAAAAAAAAAGAAGGAAAGTGAAAGTGAGGTTAATAAACAGGGAAGTGTTATTGAAAATCAGTGAACTCTGTTGAAAACATACATAGTAAGCAAAGTCCAGACACTAAACCATCTGTTAAAATGTCACCTTCAAATTGTATGGAACTTGAAGAAACAGACTCTGAGAATTGCTTCCTGAATTAAACACAGCAAACATCTTCAGGTAAAGTCAGTTAGCCACCTCAGAGACTGGATCTTTAATACAAGGAACAATTATTATTATTATTATTAGAATTATTATTATTTTTTTCGATTTATGGCCTAGGTGTATGTACCTAATATGCCAGTCTCAGTTTGTGTTTTGAATTCTTAATCATGTGTGTTCTGTGTAGGCTTTGTTACTGTTTCCCAGCGCCACTTCAGGAACATCATTGTATATTTTTTTAATTTGGTGTCATCGGCATCGACTACTAAGGCCATTAGTCTCGTGTTCTGTATAGGCTTTGTTATTGTTTCCCAGCGCCACTTTAGGAACAGCACTGTTACTTAGAACCCAACAGTGAATGGTCGAGTGGGGAATCCTACCAAGGCATCATAATTAATTTTAAATAATTAAATTATATTAAAAAATCCAGGCCAACGGTGGGATTCGAACCTGGGAACCTTGGATCCACAGACAGAGACTCTACCACTGAGCCACCCACCCCTTAACATCACTGTCAATTAGAACCCAACAGTGAATGGTCGAGTGGGGAATCCTACCTATGCATTAGAATTAATTTTTTTTTTTAATTTAATAAAAATTCCTGCTACCAGTGTGATTCGATCCTGAGACCTTTCGATCTCAAAGTCATGGCCCTAACCACTAAGCCAACCAATAGCGGCTCCAAGACGACTTTTCGGGGGGCATTGCCTTTAGCCATTTCCTTTTTAGCATATTTTTTTTTAATAAAAGGCCCATAAATCCGAAGAATTTTCATTTCGGGGGTATGGCCCTTCCCCTGGAGCCGCCCTTGGAGCCAACCCATGCCTATTATTATTAAACTAAACTAAAACTTTAGAAAAGGGGATGTAGATAGGCAACACACATTGTACACGTGTGTAATATATGTTGCATATCAAGGAGTTGGTACACGTGTTACCAGCGGTAAGGAACGAGATTGGCGTCCTGCGGCCAGCCAAGCAGGGAATAAAAGTACGTTACTGAAATAAGTAGGTTTCATTATAAATACAGTGCAACCTCGATAATCCGAACCCACGCTAATCCGAACGCAAATCGTGATGCGAGATAGTCCGAACGCCGCCTCTGTAATACGAACGCTGACAGGAAAATACCTGCAGCGCGGCTTGTGTCGCCCATATGTAGTTTGATAATGCATTTAAATGTACAAAAATCAATATACATACATAGATCTAAAGGTCTAAACATGTGTAAGAAGTGTTTTATTGTATATTCGTTAATCCGAACAATTCGATAATCCGCGAACAAGGTCTGACAATTAGGTGTTCGGATTAAAGAGGTTGCACTGTAGTCCATTAAATACTAAATACATATTGTACACGCAACAGTAATAATGCTGTTTTGGTCCTTATTTTCCATTCTAAATCAGCACAATATCTGGGGGGGTACTTTATTGGTGGTCATTTTTATATTTTATGGAATATATCTGTTATTTACGTTTGGAGAAGAAAATTCTTCAAATAAAAGTTACTTACAATATTTTTATCAATATTTTTTGTTCCATACCAAATTGTCCTAAAATGGTCCGTATTCGAGAAATTTGACAAAATGTAAAAAAATAATTTTTCATAAAAATTGTTTAAATAAAAGTTGTTTGTAATATAATATAATTTTTATCCTATGCATAATTTCTTTAAAATGGACCGTATTCGAGATATTTAAGAAAATGTGTAAATTTCGAATTTTGAAGAAAACTCAAGAACAGATAAAGGAAAAAAAATTAAATTTTAAACTTAAGTTTTACTTCGGCTTAACGTGAAATTATTAGATTTTGGACAAAGTCTGGGGGGATACTTTATGAGAGGCCGTTTTTATATTTTATGGAATATATCTGTTATTTATGTTTGGAGAAGAAAATTGTTTAAATAAAAATTACTTCCAATATTATTATCTATATTTTTTGTTGTATGCCGAATTTTCCTGAAATGGTCCGTATTCGAGAAATTGGACAGAATGTGCAAAATTCGAATTTTTAAGAAAATTGTTGTTAATCTAAAAGTTGTTTTCGATATCGATCTCTATAATTTTTGTTTTTTACATGATTTTTCTAAAATGGACCGTAATAGAAAAATTGGAGGAATAGTGCTAAATTTAAATTTTTCAGTATTTTCGTTTTCAATGAATATCTATAGAAAAATGTTTCGAGTTATATGTATGTGGTTAGTTTATCCTCCAAACATTTATAGAGGTGCTGCAATAGGTTGTACAAAATAACCGGGAAAACCCTATAATAATTAGATAGGAAAATCATGTGTTGGAGACATCAGATTGTTATATTTATTGAGATAATCTTTAATGTCTGCGACAGTTTTTAAAATTTGGAAATATTTATATGAATTTATATGATTAGGCTTAAAAATTTATTTGTATCAAACATATAGTTATTATTTCGTTTTCTGAATTATTATCAGTGAAATTTAGTTAACTATACATAAATAAATTGGAAAATGGTATGTTATGTCAGTGACATTCACTTTACTATCTGAACACAAATAAATTAGAAAATTGTATGTTATGTCGGTGTTAATTACTGCTGCGCTTTTGTGAAATATTTTGTTTTTTCATTATTGTTATATGTTATACATGCATAACTTTCTGTAGGAGCTCTAGTGTAGGAGTTAATATAGAATTTAAATCCAAAAAAAATATAATGTTCTTAAGTAATTGTTTGTTATGAAGTTCTTCTTATCAAGAATGTTAATGTCTCCAACAAAAATCATTCTTAGGTATTTGACAGACATGATCTGTGGAATTTCATTGTTGTTAATTTAGACATGAGGCCATTTTTGTTTTCTTAAAGTGAATGTTTTGAAGGACAAATTTGCAAAAAAGCCCAATTTTGCTATATATTTTGTATATTTAAAGATCTTATAGCACATCTCTAAATTAGGCGGTTTTTTTATGTAAGGTCTGTTCCAACACGAGCGAAAATCTTAATATTACCGTACAAATCATGTGCTGCATATAATTTTTGCGTAGAGCGCCTACTTTGTACGGTAATATTACAGTTTTCGCGCGTGTTGGAACAAACCTATAGGCACCTACTCTGAATTTAACGAGTTAAAAACAATTATTGAACATAAATTCTATTTTCAGGAAAAATCAACAGCATCCTCGAAAAAATCATCGGTAAATGTATCCAGAAATTCCAGCATGGGTAAAAAAGACACGCTAACAACCAAAAGACCTGATAGCAGATCCAGTTCACCCATGAAAGGCGACAGTCGTACTTCCTCGCCTAGAAAACTAGACACCAAGGTAACATCGCCTGTCAAAGCGACAGTCAGATCGGTCAGGACCCCATCGCCACTAAAAGATGCGAGTAACTCGCCTCGAAGGATTACTCGCGCCTCGCAATCCGCCAAGCCTGTTCCTGCGCCCGCGCCTCAACCTACGCAACAGCCTGTCATGCAACGGTCGAGCACGTTTTTGAAAGAGGAACCAACAGTGATGGGTAAAGTGTTGTAATGAGCATTCCCTAGTCTCTAAAACATTCCTAGTCTGGGCTGGGATTACGGACCGGTGCAAAAATATAGTATATTGCGGAATTGTTTCGTGGTTGAATGATTTGTGCGTTTTTTTATATTTCGGGTTTCACAAAATTGTTATTTACTAAAAACTTAGGTCTATCTCATGAAGAACAACTACTAGATCAGTTTTGTTTACAAAAGGCGAATTGCAAGCATTCACGTTGGTATCCACATAGTTGCCAAATTATTACAAGATTACAATGCTTTTTTGTGTTTATAATTCGGAATTCACTTAACAAAAGTCTCTAAAGCGAACAAGAGGCTTTCACGATTACATTAAAGAAGTATATTTGAATGTTTTATTTGAGAAACAACAAAGTCACTTTTTGAGTTTTCAGTTGGCGAAAAAACGTTTAGAACATATATCTAAATATTTTGAGTAATTTTGTGGCTAGAGGTCGAAAGTTTACTACTAAAGTAAGAATTTATACGAAAGCGCAAAGTTTTAAAATAAATTTTTTTATTTTCAAACTAATTTATTACCATTTGTAAAAAAATATAGCTTATTTTGTGATTCTCTTGGTTTTTGTCTTAGTTTTTTGTTGTTTCAATAATATATGGCTTCTAGTATAGGCAGCGGGCCCTTATGTGCCTTTTAAATTTGCTTTTAAAGTGGGAATGTTTTGATTTTGGAAGAGAAAATCAAAAGTTATGTTTTGAGAACTGACCGTTTGTTAATCGTTGTTCATAATACAGAATTAAGTACATTTTTTTCTTTAATAAACAATTTTTTATAACCAACAATAACAACAACAAACTACTACAAATCGAATCTGCAGTGGGTTTCTCATCTTTTCATAGATCACGTGTATCTCGAGACGCTTATCTTCATTCGACAAATTGATTCTTATGTAACGTTGATGTGAAGTGTTGAGTTCGCACATAAGAATTCATGTGCTGTTACTGTTTAGATTTCTATAGATTAGGTTATAAGTGATTGCAAAATGCTAACTGTCAATTTAGTGCAGAAACAACCCATGATACAAAAAATTTCAGAGATATGATACTTAGATGACAAAATCTCGTTGAGTTCGCACATAACCTAATGTGGTACTTAATTTTAAAATCCATTGAACTAAGTATATTTACAATAAGAAAGTGTATTACTGACACGCGAAAACTTTGTGGTTCGTATCTTCTCTCACTGTCCTGGCTAGTTATACCTTCGTTCAATGTATATATTTAAATTTAGTGTCTTCTCCTTGTCTGTCGGCATTGTACGGCAATGCTGGTTTTCTTGCAAGTTCGTTAATTGGGTTTTTTTGTGTGAATTTATTTGTGATCTGGCTATCTGTGATGGAAATAGGCAGATTAAAATGTATTTTTGCTTGCTGTTTTCGATCAGCTGATGCCTCAAACTCGTAAAAGCCACGCATCCGCGCCGCAATACATCACCCTGTCGTAGTATCAATTTGCGTATTATTACCTTTATATTTTTTGGTCATGTAACATCGAACAAACTATGTCAGTGGAGCAAACGGACCTTAGATATATTAAAAGAACCGTATCGAGTAAAAAAGCAAAACATGGTACTTTTAAATGCAGCATTTTTATAGTATCATGAAAACAACCCAAGTCCAGTAATAAGGTTGTTTTAGAAATTAACGAATATTTGAGTGGTTCAATGCCAGAGTTGCATGAACAACAAATTATTAAAACTGAGTAAATAGAGATCAAAGCATTTTACTTGTAATTTTGGAAATTATGAAAATGAAAAATCCTCAATTCCCCCTACGAAATTATAATACGCTAGTTCGGTGTGATGTTATTTTGGTTCCACTGACATTTAATTCTAACCAAACTTTTAACAAAAACATCAATAAATTTGACATATTCGTTTTTACTGTTTTTAGTTTATTTCTAAATATTGTTTACAGGTCATAAAAAATATAGTTTAAAGGTATGTAGGTAATTTGTAACTAAACGATTGTACATTTGATGCATGTTATCTGCTTACTTTAGGAATATATTTATAAAAGTGAAAAAACGTTATAGTTTAGGTAAAAGGTAGTCAAAAAATCTACTGTCACTTAATTGTCAGTGGAACCATAATTACATCATTACTGAACTAGCGTATTCCTCCTACGAAATTATGAAAATTACACCCTCATGTCCCCAAAGTGAAAACAAACCAAAGAAAAATTGAAAAATCTGATGCACTCATTTTTTCTTTCTTTAATTCTCAATTTTTTTCAATTTTTCTTTGGTTTGTTTTCTCTTTGGGGATATGAAGGTATAATTTTTATAATTTCGTGGGGGGGGGGGGAATTGGGATTTTTCATTTTCATAATTTCCAAAATTGCATATACTTTTCGGATCTCAACCGATTTTTCTCACTTCACTTTTATTTCATTACATTTTACTTGTGTCTAGTAGACATAAATGCCTAATCTTTAGGTATAGATGGTGGCACGGAAAACGAATAATTTTAAGGAATAGGCAACTTTGACATGCACAGAATTGATTTTAAAATAACAAATATATGATTTTTTTCAAATTTTGTTGGTTAGCCAATTCTGGTACTAAACCACTCATTATAATTCGTCTTATAAGGATGTTTACGAGAATTAGGCTATTTGTATGTTAAACGCAAATTGCCTCTAAAACTACAATATAAATGTGATAAACCCAGTACCGACAAAATGTGACTTAGTTTATAAGCGATTCATTTGCATTCTTAATGCCAGTTATTAACAGTTCAATATATTTTTCTGATTACAACAATTATTGTAGCTGAAGGCGATTTCCAGGAAAGTACGACATTTATTTTGCAATGGTGTGTGTAAAGCAGGCGTAGTATTCGTACGTGCTCTGGTTTCATTCTTAAGACGTGTGCTCTCAGATGCCACCCCCACTCAATTTAGAAAGGCGTCTCGCTATTTCTAATGCGGCAACCGATGCAATAGCTCTGTTTTTTCATCACAGAATAGATGAACAAAACAGAAAGAATACGTAGGGCTATAACCAAAATCCTAGCTACCGTAGCCAGGCTTTACTTTACAGTAGAAATTAATGTAATTTTCGTAGTGTAGTTTCAATTAATGCCTGCATTCGTTTTCTTGATGGGCACTTTGGGTCAAAGATTTTCTATCCTCTCTACTTCAAAGTGGCCCGACCATTACTTTAATTTCTGTGTTGTTAATCTAATCCGTGGTCTCATTTAACGCCATTGTCTCTCTCCATGTTTACAAAAATAAAACGTGGGTCACAGTGCAGGACCTCGTAAGTTTTTGTTTTGCATTTTAGTTATTTACAGTCCATATGAACAGAACAACATTTGCTATCTACCCAAAATAATTTAAACTATTTAATTTGGACAATAATATATTGATATTTAGCCTCTAAGTAATAATCCCCGGGTATAAAATGGAAAAAATGATGAAAAACGGTTTTTTTATAATTTAATCACGTAAAAAAATATATGAGCTACTGCACTGTGACCCTCGAAAACACAAATTGAATACTTGCAAGTGAACCAGTGCTTACTTATGAACGAAAGGATTGGTCTAGTAGTTGTTCGTTGTTTAAAACGTTTGCGATTTAAAAGTTGATTCTTTTCTTTTAGGTTAACACCTATGCTAATATAAATAGAAACATAACTTTTCTTATTTTTTTTTATGATTTCTCTAATTTGTTAAATAAGCTAAATATCAACTTATCACTTTTAAATCGCTATATACAGAGTTCAACAATATACGTATCCTACGTGAAATGGTAAAACCAGAAATTGAATAGAAATGCTCCTGTTAAATAATTTTTATGACAACTTTATTATCAGTTGTGTCAAATACTTCAGTGGTATTATTTTAGGGTTTATGCTGAAGTAATAAATTTTACTTTTAGCCAACTGCTGACATTCTTGATTCAATTGTTAAAAATTATATTGCTCTTTTCGTATATACAGGATGGTCTTTAACTATTGTTGTACATAGAAGTAGATTTTTGACTTCAAAATATATATTTCGATTTAATCCAACTTGTCTAAATAAATATTGCTAATAAGACACAGGGTGTTGAAAGTGAAATTTATTTTTTGTAATAATTTAAACGTTTTTGGATATTTATATTAAAAAATTTGAATTTAGTAGTTTTTGGGTATAAAAAATTATAATTTCCTATTTTCATCAATCTATTTTATATAGAGTGTTACATAAGCTTGAATATATTTTTTTTGTTATTTATGTTAGCACAATTTTTATTAAAAAATGTTGAAGACATCAATTTAACAAAAAAGGGTCATAGGTTCTTATTATTAAACTTGCATTTTAGAAATCAGCTCCATAATTCTCATTTAACTCATAGCGTGAAATATTAACTTAGTATGCATCTTTGATAACAATGATTTTACAGCAGTTCAATGATATGATAAAAATATTAATGTTTAGCAGAAGTTTCACTACTAATATTAAAAATAACGTAAATTTGGCATCAGTGTCCAATCAGAACATTGCATTTCTGGCAACGACTCTTAGAATGTGAACTGATGTTGGCCTCAGAAAGTTTGTAAATAATTATATCTTTCTTGGTTATATACAGTGTGTCCCGAAATTAGACGGTCATAGTTTAACAGCATAATCTGCATCCTAAAATAGAAGTAAAAGTTCATGTAAATATAGGTCTGAAAACGTTTCGTTTTCGAGATATACGGTGTTACAAGTGAAGTCCTGATGGCACATTTTTGTAAATATTTTCTAAAATTTCTTTAGTCACCGGTTTTCCAAAGTTAAAAAAAAAATAAAATTTCTGATTCCACAGGTCTACTAATTATTGTTTACAACTTATCATGAAATTTTCAAATGATTTTCTCTTGAAAATGGTGCGTCCTAGCGAGATACAACAAAAGTAGCTTTATAATAAAGAAAATATTGGTTTTTCAAATTTTTTAGTCAAAAATGTTAAAAACAGTCAGCAAAAAACTTAGGACAATTTAACCTTAAGCCCCTCCCCTAATTTACCCACCTATGAAGATGATCAAAAACTGGCATTTAGTCCAATTAATAGAGCGTTAAAAGTTTAGCATTTGTAGCAAATTTCACTTAGTTATCTTTAAAAATTTAGAAAATATTTACAAAAATGTGTCATCAGGACTTCACTTTTAATACCCTGTATCTCGGAAACGGTTTTAGGATCTATGTTTATATAAACTTTTACTTCTATTTTAGGATGTAGATTACGCTGTTAAAACATGACCGTCTAATTTCGGGACACCCTGTATTTACGGATATGTCCATCATTCTTTTTAATGCACATCTCATATTAAATAACACCATTGGTTGAAAAAACGTGCTTCTTAAAGATGTTTCATTGTACACCATACACCGAAATTGAGAGTATTAAAGTCTCGGCTACATGTTGGCCTAGGGAACTGACTACCACAGCGAATCCAGCGTTCAGAAAAGTGGTTATTTAAATATCAGCACCTCAGAGGTAAGGTATGTTAAGTCACTGAATCTACATTTGTCAGGAGAGGTATTTTAAAGTTCACTTGTTTTAACAAAAAATGTAAAGAAACGGTGAATTAACTAAATATTGGGGTTTTTGCAAAAGTCAATTGTTTGGTCAATTTATTTCGATTTTTTGTTAGATTTTTTTTTATCTTCTCCTAAAATTTTGACCTTAATGTGACTTATTATTATCCCCAAATTTGCAATACTTGGTTTGCGACTTGCCGAAATGATACAGTTAGTGGTTATTGGTATGGTAAATCCACAAGTGGAGAAAACTCTTCTTTGAAAAATGTGACTTAACACACCTTACCTTTGAGGTGCTGATAGGTCTGACTGCTCTCGTAAAATGTGCCGGTGCATCTTCTGTATCTGTAACGTGTGGAGGGAGGCTTAACCCATTGTATTTAGGCCTCACTAGGCCCATTCTGCATATGCTTAAGTAGATAGGCATTTCCTAGCTCGTGAGCCAGCCTACAAAATTAATGTAGTTGACAATGTTAAACAAAAAATGATTCCCTTTTCAAGATTGCATACAATAATTTTTTTAAATTCCAACAAATTTGAAGCTCGCCGCTCAATGTTTTTCTCGCCTCTTCATAATGAACCTAAAATATTGACTAATTTATAATATTCGAGACAGTATTGCCTGTGTTTTTATCTTGTTGTCGCTTATAATAATCATTGATGCCCAACTACTAAGCTCTAAATATCAAAGAGGTGCAATGAATTAACTGAAAATTGTGGAGCTGATTTCTAAAACGCGATTATATCGAAAACTGTTTGCTTTTGGGACTAATAACAAGTGTCACTTTTTTTGTCAAATTGACGTATCTTTAATATTTTTTAATAAAAATGGCGTTAATTTAAAAATAAAACAGTTTTTCACATATTTTTGTCACAAATTTGGCTCCTCCAATAAAATAGAAATAGAATAGAAATTATAATTTTTCATATCCAAAAATCACCAATTTCAAAATATTAATGATAAATCTCCAAGAACGTTAAAGTTTAAATTCTTATTCATATTATCAATATTTTATTGAGGGTAGTTGGCTGAAATCGTAATATTTTGAAGTAAAAAATATTATATAATTTTGACATTTTGTTTTAGATTTGCTATTTATAGTTTTCATTTATTACCTTTTATTTGTATTTTCTATTTCTTCTTCATAAATTTGTATATCATATTTTGACTTTTCCCATACCTGTGCAAGGTCACTGGGAATAAAAAGATTATTGTTATCATTATCCATTTAGTCATGTAGGATCTGAGTATTGTTGAAGGCTCATTATATCTGCAAAATAAAAAGTTATAGGCCAATTGCAAAAATGTTCATTAACATT